CTTTAAGACGGTTTTCAAAGATAACATGTATTTAAGTAAGCACAGGTAACAAGATTATAATGTTCCCTTTGGGCGCTCACGTACAGTAACCCTACACGCGCGAAAATTAGCCGTCATGTTTGATGTTATTGGTGCGCGCACACACCAGGCACCCTACTGCACGCGCAAATTTGGCTGTTGATTCAAATTGCTTTACAGGTCTCCGTTCGAGAATGAATGTGGATCGGAGGTATACACCGAGATGCTCGCCTCTTTGAAAAAATTTCCCGCGCGCGCACGTTCAAAGAAACTAGCACTGGAGCGAGCTTTCAATTAGCTGGAGAGCTTGGAGACACCGCAGTTTCGGCTCTTTTTGTCAGATTTTCAGTTTGTTCTTCGTAGGGAATGTGGTCGTATGCACGAGAGTGCTGATAGGAAGCGTCTTTAGATAGTGACGTAACGTTCTCGAGGAATGGGAGTTTAGACACCACCACAACTGTACCTCTTTTTGAACCCACAACAAATCAATCATCGTTTTTCCTATCTATTGTAGCACTGACTTAGTGTTTTGCGAGACCTTTTTTGAGAGGAAATTATCCAATATTAGTGTGTTGACGCTATTCCTCGTTGAATACACACTGGAGGCAACGCAATTTACCGGGGAGTTTCGCTTACGACTGCTTTGGATTTTTGGGTTCTTCGTTCCAGAGCTAAGTTGTGAGCAAAGCCCATTATCCTTCGAAACATCCACAGCAGTGGGGTTATTAAGGGTGTTCCAGTCAGCGACCTCAGCAAAGGTAATGGCGTCGATTTCACACGAACATAAGTGAGGGATAGGACAGTCGTGCAGTTAAAGTTTTACAACTATTTTTTTGACGTAAACTGCATTGGGGAAATGAATGGATGCTACTTACCAGAGCATCAGCCGGTGGATATTAGTGAGTGCCTATTGGTAACAATCAGGAAGTTGCCGTAAAATTTCACCGGATGAAGTATCCGCCAATATTCATGGATTTCGGTTAGGTGCTCTCAATATAGTGAAGTGCGCAAATCGTTCATGAATACAGGTGACCTAGCTCGTAAAAGGTTAGCCACCCTTGAAGGCAGAGCAATCTCAGCAAGTTCCCTAAAAATATAAGATATGTAGTACTCATCCTCAGTGGGGCTCAGTCGGTGGGAATGGCAGCACGCGACAATCTGCGTCAGAGTTATGGAACGTTCAGTTTTAGGACTAAGCCTAGAGAAGAGGCTCCGAAGTGCGGTAAGCAACTTTTCTCTGAGAAGTTCGTCTTCCTCCGTAGCTCAGTCTCAGAAGTCTTCCCACTCTCACACCCCCCCCCCCTTTGCAGTGTAGAACATTACCGAACAAAAACCACAATTAAACAAAATAGACAAACATTAACTCTCAAGTAGTATCCATTTAGCAAAGTTCACTTTTCATTGTGAATCACGTCTACCTCCACTAATCGCATTCCTTCAGAATTTCCATAGTGACTCTAACACCATTATAGCTGGGAGAAGGCTCGCTCCAGTGCGACACTTGTTTAAACGAGCGCGCGCGGGAACATTTTTCAAAGAGGCGAGCATCTCGGTGTATACCTCCGATCGAATGGATGGCGCAATGTGCCTCGGGGGGGGGGGGGCCAGTCGCCGCGCGCGCGTGCGCGGCAACAGGAAATTCGTGAGCCAGGGGGAGTGTAGCCAATTCAGGGGGGTTGGGGGTGAGGGCAGTCACATGACATGCGTGAGAAGCTGGAATGTTCGAATTTCCTGTTGCCGCGCGCGGTGACTGCCCCCCCCCCCGAGGCACATAGCGCATATCATGATCGTTACGAATGGATACCGACTATGCAAGCACCCGGTATTGTCTCTTGAAGTATCAACTTATTTTGTATTCAGGATTGGATTCCCTTTGCGGAAAAGCACGGTGGCGTCGTATAAAAGGAGCGAGAAAAAAGTCCGGGAACAACTGCTCAAAAGGAGGGTGAGTTCCAACAGATAGCAAGTAAATCGTTTGGTTGATTCCTGTGATTGTAGAGTGTCGCTTCACATTTGGATCCATTTCTATGCTTATTTCTTATGTACATTGCTAATATTATACTGGTATTCTTTGGTAGGTATGGTGTCTATTAGACGTCAGATGCGATCGCTGTTAAAATCACATCGGAAAGGAGGGAGACTTTGTAGACGAGGGTTTGGCGGCGCCTGTTCAAGGCAGACGCCATTCAATTCGCTTGGGATCAAGGGTCACTTCAGCGCTATATGTTCAACGGGCTTGATCACACGCGCAAATTTGGCTCTCGTGCTCCGAAATGCATTGACAATGTTTAACCAAGGAATCATTGCTCTGTCACCATTGTTTTTTTTTTCAGTGATTCGCGATGAAGATTCGATAGAGGCTAGGCGGAAAAAAGCATTCGAAAAAGGATCGAGAAATTATTACTTCATACTTTGGCTTCGGTAGCTGCTCCACAAACCAGTTACCCTTCGATTTCAAGCTTAGTTTTCTTCAGTGAGTTTGTGCCTACTTACGATCGTTGCAGCAGCATTTCGTGAGTGAATCCATTTATCTGAACCAATGCCTTTCAATGAATTGCGAACCTTTTTCAGGCGGAGGACATGCTCTGTGGACCATGTTTCTACTATAGCATCACCCGTCAGGAATTCACTCGTTCACCATGATCGCAGAGATTTTATTCATACTGGGTTGGTTGATGTTCATGTTTTGATTTGAACCACCTCATAGATTGAAGTGCAGATTTTTCTTCTACTTTACTCTCAAAACCCAAGTTATGAGATCTTCGCCTTTTGCTCACATTCTCAAAATCAAAGTGTAACATTCTTTTGTAGGTTCCCGAGGAATGCTCCAGTTCTCGACCTGGACCAATCGCATTTTGGTACACGTGGCGATGGCCAAAGCGACGTCGGAACACCTAATTATATGAGTTTCAATCACTAGCACAGTGCTATTCTCCAACGATTCCTCGCACTATAAAGCTAGTTTTGTAGTACAGTTTGCTACATTGTCATAAGTTGTTTAATAAACTTTGAAATATGAAATCTGAGGGCGCATTCATAATCGTTCGCCCGATCGTAACGATCGGAACGGTCGCACAGCATTAGGTATGTGTCAACTGTTGTCCGGTCGTTCGTCACGTCGTCACGGTCAATCGATAAAAAAGAACATTCTCGAACGGAAATCGAACCATAACAGCCAAATTTGCGCGTATGGTAGGGTGCCTGGTGTGTGCGCGCACTAATAACATCAATGACGGCTCGTTAAGGTTATTGTACGTGAGCGCCCAAAGGGAACATTATAATCTTGTCAAGAGTTGTTGGGCGACATTTTTTCCTAAGTTTCAGTAGTTCCTCATACAGAGCCTAAGAAAATGAAGCCACTTATGACTCCAACCAAATATCTATGGATCTTACCGAACTTCTTAACCGCTTGCGTACCTAGCACCTGTAGTCACGGTGAGTTTTTCTCAAGTGCTTTTGTCTTTGTTAAGTGGGTTTGAGCCCAAACTTTGCCTTTAATCACCTTCTCATGGACGTCCATTAACCGCAACTCCGGCACACCGGCTACCCATTCAAAGTAGTGTGCCACATCTCGACACCACATCGCCTTTAGATTTCCCAGAGTAAGCTGTCGTTTGCTGTTGTTTCGGTCTAAATTATTGGTATGAGCATAGAAGGTATAATGTGCTGATACAATACTTCCAGGTGAACGAAGTAGATAATATCTCATCTGGCCAAAAAGTCAAACTTTTTATACATTAAACTCTGAAACTCATATTTGACAACGATTTCTTCTATGGAAAAGAATATTGAACAAATGCTAACCGGTATTCTGGGGGAGATTCTCTGTGGAAAGTGAAGGGCTTCCTCGAGTGAGATGTCAACTGAACAGCTCGGCGTTGATTCGTAGAAGCTTGCTTCAGGGGCGTCGCAATATCTGAACAATGGTCATGAACTATGTCGGAAAATGCACAAACAGGACTGAAGGAAGAAGGAATTACTGGTATGGTAATGACACCAAATTAACCCATTCGCGACCGCGCAGGATTGCGCAATAGCAGCAGCGTCAGGAGATTTTTCTTCAATAAAATTCGAGTGGAGGGAGATTTCCTCTGCCCAGGGCTGGCGTAGATGAGCGAGGGTATGAAGATTCTTTCCATGGAAGAAAACTTTCCAAATTCCATTTCAAGCCCTGCAGCCACAGTAATACCATTGTCCCGAGTGAGAGCTTTGTCAGCCACCGGTGGCTGACATTGTCACGAATGGGTTAATGCGATAAAGCTGCAGACCATAACGCTATGAGGTCATCGAAAACCTCTCTTTTTCAACTCACATTTCCAGGTTGTTGAAGCTGGAGAGTAACTGCTCGATATTTAAGCCGCTTGAATTCATGGCGACGTGGTGGCCAAACAGAGATGCTGGCTGAAAAGGAGGGTTACTGAAAAAACGAAAAATATCAAACACAAACACTACTGAAATTTCTGTCTACAACTGAAGACTTGACCGTTTTGTACCGGAAAATCTTTCCTGAAGTTCCCAAAACAGTTTTCGCAATTTCGCACTGCAGAATGTACGAAATGAAGGGCCTTCATTTTTCAATCAAAAATGACGAAGCGACCGCAAGGCGGCTAAAAACTAGCCGTATTCCCCGGGATTATTTATTGTTCGCTTTCCGTGTCCCTATTAATATTTCACATGAAAAGGATAGCTGCCCACAAGTTGCTTCATTGGATCGCTCGCATCATATCATTCAAGTTTCTCATTTTCATCCGCTCATGTAGAAAAGCGAGATAAAGCGTTAGGTATTGGTCAATCCGTTGTTGATGCGAGGTGCGCCACGCATTTGAAATCCATCCGCAATGTTAGTGATAGCTTGAACGCTTCTTGACCTAAACAATGACTTGATGAGACCAACGAATGTATTCTCAGGACAGTATTTATTCTATCAGCGGTCTCGTAGCTATCATTTGAGGTCGGATGGATGGAAGGCATCGTTGAGCTGGGTAGCGTGTACATAGGCTTCATCTGCATTGTGAACGGCGCCATCGCAGTCAAATTAATAACTCGGCAAGATCTAGAACTTCTTTGATTTGAGACGCTCAAATAGCAAAATTCCTGCTATCTCGACTCGAAAGTGTGCAACGAAGGTCTAGGGCCTTGGTAGGACCGCCTTCTTTCTCACCCTGCAATACCAGCGTCGGTGCACGTCCACCCTCTCGCTGTCCGACTATGGCCGTTCAGCGAGAGAGCGATCGCGTTGAAGAGGAACATCACCGATGAGAGTCAGCTCAATGCGCAAATCATGGGCAAAGGAAGGGATCTCTTTTCTCGAGTTTAGCCTT